GACACAAGGGCACATGTATGGCTTTTATGAGTCTCCAGGAATGACATAAAAGCCAGCTAGGCTTGAAGCAGGACTCACCTCCCTGCTCCTCAGTTATTTATCAGGCAGTTACTTTGAGGTTCCTGTTACTTGCAACTAAAGGGGATTAATGACTACTCAGGGGACAGGGTTGGTTAAAAGGTGGAAGAGTGGGAGGGTGACAGTGTGGTGGGAATTCAGACATGAAACATTGAGAGCCTGAGCCCTGGAAAGGGCTATGTGTGTTGGGAGATAGAGAGGAAAAGTGAGATGAGAGTTGGGAAGGAACAGTCTAGCAACCTTCTTGGAAAGCTGCTATCAAGAAGTGCCAGTGATCCTTTATAATCTCTTCCTTCATGTATTCTTTCTTTCTTGTCTATCTGCCATCTATTCATTATCTATCAATCAGTTTATCATTTATCTACTCTGTAATATCTATAAATCATTTACAGATCATTATCTATCTATCTATCTATCTATCTATCTATCTATCTATCTATCTATCTATCTATCTATCTATCTATCTATCTATCTATCTATCTATCATCTCTATGTCTATGAAAGGATGTTCCTATGTAGCCCAGACTGGCCTCAAACTTGTGATTTTCCTTCCTTAGCCTCCTGGGTGCTGGGATTACAGGTGTGAACCATTTATACCCAGCTTGGATCAGGCATTTTGTCCCCATTTTAAGACTTGAAAGAACTTGCCCGAGGACACACAGGAATTCTGGGGCTATTTCTGAATCTTCAGCTCATGTCAAATGAACTTTTGCTTGCATATTGTATGCGCCGAGGTCACATGGCACCATCTTTCTGTACCTTAGGGCACAGATGCACCTTCCACCTCCAGCTCCTCTAACTAACCTGTAGAAATAGTAGGAGTTCTTGCAGAGGAAAAGCTGGAGAGCGCATGGCCCCCTTCATTAAAATGAATTCTGCCTGTGTCTTTGCTTCTAAATAGAAGAAAATGTAGATTTGGGACAGAACCGAAGGGAAAGGGATTTCCCTTGGCAAATTATTTGCAATTTGTGGATTGGAGCTGACCCAGCTCCAATTCCCTCTGTCATTGTGAGCGCTGTCTAAAATGTGACCGGCTTATTAAAGAACAGGAGCTGGAGAGAGTCCTCCCACAGGATCATAAGGAAACAAGAACAGAGCTAAAACCCATCCTCATCCATCTCATAAGGTCTCAGGCCAGGACTGGCTGGATTGTCACCCATTGGTTACATGGTCACTCACGGGCAGCCAAACCAATTCCAGTGACTATTCCTTTTGTGCCTTTCCTTAGGCATTCTGTTTTAAGCATGGAAATGAGTGGTCCTCAGCCTACAGCATGTGATAGAAAGCATGGTCCTAAGTTACTGCCAGAGAATCTGGACTTGTAGAAGGCCACAGTATTTCTTTTTCAAGAGGGATTCCAAGCAGTGATTCTCAAGCAGAATCACTAGAAACAGTGATGTTCACACACTTCACCAAGTGGCTCCGTCATCCCTGGTTTAGGGATGCTGTTTTTGCTGGCACAAGTCCTGGGAAAGAGTCAGTATTTCTTTACTAGCAAGATCCACTACATACTGTCACAATTTGAGAGACATTTAGAAAGCTTTCTCGACTAGGAAGATCTTCAAGAGCTGCCGAGGCTAGAATTCTAAGGATCTTTGTTCTCTAGCACTCCTTTTAAATCACGGTTTATGGAGGATAGCTCTGTATTCAAAGAAAAAAAATTTTTTAAAGGAAATAAATCACTGTAGCATATTCACAGCAAGCTGAAATATCTATAGAGCTTATCTGTCTGTATGGTCTAACTGCCATATTTCTTCTTTCTCACAAGCTATTCCTGAGAATGGCTTATAGTCTCAGGTGAGTTATCCTTTTCCTTAGGACTTCTTGGCACCAACAGGCAAAAGAAAATAAACGTGCGCCTATTTCCCCATGCACCTGTGCTATCAGAGGGCAAATGAGCTGCTATGGAATGGGTGGGTCACAGGCCTTCACAATAAACTTGACTCCACATGAAATGAATCTGAAAATTCCATTTATTAAAACAAATACATTGCTCATGGGGGATGAAAATGTGCACATCACATTCAGGTTTACCTGCTTTAACATTTCGATATTTCCTTCTATTTAAAAGACATATTTCATAGATCTTATGTAGGAAAATGTGAACAATCCTTGGGCTGTGAAATATTGACATACATGTAACAAGTCATCATTGCCAGGAGTAGCTAGAAGCAAATACTAAGGAAGAAAAATATATTAAAAAAACCCTTTCAGACAGCATGCTTGATTTTTCTTAAAATTTCTTACATGAAATGTATGTAGAGAAATGATTTTCATTTGACTTTTCCTTTAAATCCTCTGTTTAAAAAATCAAATAGTACTAGCCTTCAAATAAAAATAATAACAAATTTTCAACTGGCATTCATATTGAGAATGATGTAATTTTTTTCTTTTTAGAGTTCCAGTTCTAAATATGAAACTCATTTTATTTATTTCCTAATTTCATGGCATATTTTCTTATTATCCAATATATTATACAAGAATATAGAAATTAGGGCGTTCAATAATTAAGCTGAATTCTTCTACTAGTTACTCTTAAAATAAAATTATGCTGGTGAAAATGGTGAATTTCTAAAGGAGATGGCTAAAGTAATCAGAAGACCCCATTTCTCCTTTAATAAACACAAATATCAATAAGCCAAAACTCATATAAGGATTATAAGGATTATAACTCCATACTATAAGACCTGAAATTATGCAAAAGCCAAACCATTTTTCTTAATTTCAGATGGGCTATGAGTTTTCTGTCTTATTTCTCCTTTCATAGCACGAACATATGCAATTTGAACTGAAGTTTTAGTTGTTAGACCTGTGTTTAGGTGCTTCTTAAAAAAATTTTTTTTTGTGTGTGTGTGTGTTTGTGTGCCAGTACTGAGGCTTGAACTCAGAGCCTGGGCACTGTTTCTTAGCTTTTTTGCTCAAGACTGGCATACTATCACTTGAGCCACAGGTGTACTTCTAGCTTTTTTTGTGGTTAAAGACATAAGAATCTCACAGACTTCCTTGTTCAGGCTGGCTTTTGGCCTGGCTCCTCAGATCTCAGTATCCTGAGTAGCTAGGGTTACAGGTATGGTCCCCAGCTTCTTTCTAATCTATTCCATATCTATTATTCCAAAGATATAAATTCACACAGAAATACAAAGAGTCTGTCTGAAAGAAAGAAATGAAGCATACTGTGGAAACTATGTGGACCTTCAAACCATGTCATCACCAGCCAGGGGTACTCTAAGTCTGTTGTTTTTCTGGGATCATATATTCATGTTTCAGCTCATTTTCAACACTTGGATAGTGTTTTAGTTGACCTCACAGTGTTCCTAAGCCAATGGTACAATATTGTATCTCCATCAAAATAAAAAACCTCCTCCAGCATCTCTAGGACTGTATCAAAACCCCAAGCTTTGTTTGGTCAGAGTAGAAGTTCCTGGTTACAAAAGCGTACTTACACATCTCACAAATATTTCAGTATCTTCAAGCATGAGCTTGAATTGGACATATTCCTTCACCAGCATGCCCACAGAGGAGCTAAGGAAAATATTACCAAGTCTGTTTCAAAACCAGTCCTTTTTTTCTTTTTCTTTTTTTTAAAAAAAATCTTCTCTCTCTCTTTTTTTGGTACATTAAACAGAAAAACAAAACAGGAGGAAGAGTAATGATGAAGGAAGAGGGGAAGAGGAAAATCAATTTGGAGTTAATGGTCTTTGAGGATTTGATAGCAAACAATCTGTAGGAGACTTTCTCTTCGACCGGAAATGACAGAGATAAAGAGTGAAAAAGGTTTCAGGGCCTGCTATGACTGGTGAAGGGAAGAATGGGTCTCAATGCCTCATCTTGAGAGAGAGCACTAGCTGCAAGAGAGATGTAAATAATGACAGAGAGACTCTGGTAAGGTAGAGAGCAAAAAACAAAAAACAAACAAACAAGCCCCTCTCCCCCCCCCCCCATGGTTTCGAAGAACATCTCAAGGGAAAAACAGACTTGTTCATGGTGGAGCCAGCTGGCAGGAGGGGGTGGGGACAGGGGAGTGCACCTGTCACTCGAAGGATGGGTGGAGCCTAGAGGGGGGTGGTCTATGGGTCTATTTCCGATCATGCTGGAAAAGGAGGACCACAGATTTGTAGTCAAAGGCTGGAAAGCCTTCTTTCTGTCTAGAATGTCCATGATTCAGGGAAAGAGAGACATGCTTGTATATAGCAAAAACATTTCTCAAATCATGGCTATACTCTGTCCTTTCTATGGGGGGACTTGTGCTGCCATGGACACTGGATAAAACAAACTGCCTTGGATTCTGGGAAATCTACTAAAGAGGTACTGATACCACTGGGAGCTGAGAGGTATTTTAGGCATGGCTAAGGCTCTGAAGTGATCTCAGTTTTCAAAATACTGAAGGATTCCCCTCCCCCCAGTATAGTTTCTTTTTCTCTTCCTAGCTTTCTAGTTAAAACAACAAATCTTCTGAATGGATGTAACATAGGGACATTGTCATGCAGTATTACTCAAGAAACGGTCACAAAGATAGGAAAGCACCAGTCACAACACATGATTTACTTTTACTTGCAGAATCAAAGCTACCATGTACAAATATTAGGAATAGTGATAAGAGAACACAGACAACTGGCAATTTTGTTGTTGTTCTTATCAAGATAATACACCACAAGAAACATCTTCCTAAACATTTTGAGGGTTCACTTAAACTTGGAGTTCCATCTTACAGACTAGTCTAGCCTTCTCTTTGTACTACTTTAATGGGTAGGGATAGAAGAAGGGAGAGGGGTAGAAGAAAGGACAAAGAAAAACACAAAGACTAAACACTGATGTCATTACGCTGAACCATGGTTACACTGGACAATTCAGCTTATCAGAAGGTATTCTAAAGACAAGAATCATTTTGAGAAGGTCATACACATCTTAGCTCAGTACAGCTGTCTTTTTCAATGTTTATTTTTATTTTTAAATATGAAGCAGAAAAAGTAAGGTGGGGAGGGGATAGCAGAAAAGAAGTGACACCAATTTTATTTTTTATACATTCCCCTCCTCCAGGCAGGTCTGCAGAATCAGATCTTTTAAGTCGGGAAGTGGATCGGCTTTCATTTGCCTAAGGGGACCAGTTCTTTAAACATGCACAGCCTGGAGTTTCCAGGATGGTTCTTCTCTCTCTCTTTAAATGCCGTGGACGAGAAAGGTGCCCACTTTGATAGAAACATTACGCCAATGTCCCGGGAACCCCGAGGCTCTTCAGCCTCCGCCTGGAAACTTAAAGGATGGCACAGAAGAACTTCTTCTCTCGAAATGGGTTTTCGGAGGCTGGGACGGGGGTCAGCAGGGGGTCTTCCTTGGCATGTGCCTCACAGTAGGCCATCAAGTCTGCAGCTGCTTTGGAAACCTGGAGGGGAAGACAGAGACCATGGAAATGGATCAGTAGTCAGGCGCTGTCCTTGAGCTTTTGTGCTCAAGGCTAGCATGTTACCATAGGAGTCATAGCTTCACTTCCAGCTTTTTGGTGGTTAATTGGAGATAAGAATCTCATGGACTTTCCTGGTCTGGTCTAGTGGAACAGTGATCCTTCTGAATAGCTAGGATTATATAGGCATGAGCCACTGGTTCTGGGCCCTAACCCTCATCTTGTATGTATCTCTTGAGTTCGGTGCCTAGTAACTCACTGGGTTACAAGGATTAAATAAGTGAGATAATCCATGCAAATCATTTAGGGCTTGGCTTCTAGCAAGATTTCTACATGAACTAGCCATGTTATTATCATCAGGTACTCAGCCATCTGTCTCTCTCGCTTCAGGAATCTTGTTAGGGATGTTCAAAGCCAGGCTGGATTCTCTCTTTAATCAAAACAGATATGAAGGTGCAGATATTGCGTGTATGTGTACACTCAAATACACACAAACAAAACTTTATGTAGTACCAACATGTATGGTCTATATGATTCCAACCACACAGTGCACCTTTCAGGGTTGTGTTACTGGGAGATTGTCACTGAGTTTAGTGATACTGACAACTTCCCAGAACATTTCTTCCCCTCCTTGTTAGGAGTGTCCAGCAGTTTGACTCATCAGTGACAATGTTTCACTACTTGAGAGGGTGAATTTCATTGTGAAAAATCAACTCATATCTGAGATGTGATAGATGATCTACCAGAAGGATGCCATTTGGAATGAAAAACATAAAGCCATGAGCCAATTCTTTGCCCAGTATCCTTGCTCTGAAGATCACTCCAAGCCTTTTCACACCACCATGAGCTTAACACCACCATATGACTATGGAAGGTTCTCAGAGTCACTGCTGCAAGCACAATCCTCTGTAAGAGTGGAGTAGATAGCTGGGAGCCAGTGGCTCACGCCTGTAATCCTAGCGACTCTGGAGACTGAGATCTGAGGATTGTGGTTCAAAGCCACAGAAAAGTCAGTGAGACTCATTGCCAATAAACCACCAGAAAACTGGAAGTGGTACTGTGGCTCAAGTGGTAGAACATTAGACTTGAGCTGAAGAGCTGAGGGACAGTGCCCAGGCCCAGAGTTCAAGCCCCACAACTGAGCAAAAAAAAAAAAGAAAAGAAAGAAAGAAAAAGAGTGGAGTGGTTTTATATTATCCCTCAATATATTTCCTATCCCTCCCTACCTGTGAGGAACACATACCACACCATGTCATCAGCCAGGGCCATGCTACCCATGACAAGCTCTTACCCATGTACATGAGCAGAATTGAGTACAGGAGTCAGTGCAGCAGCTGCTATGCACTTTCCCCTCTGCTACTGGGTCCAACTGAAGTAACTACTATGAATGCCCACCACGGACTCAGAGGCTTTCACACATGGAACGGTGGTCACACACTCATCTGTTCCTCATTCCAGGGCTTAAGGATAACAATGCTGATGCTTAAAGGGCTTTCAAATTTACCATTAAGTGGTTGGACATGAAGCTTGGTTTCATCTTCTTGTCCCGTAAATCCTTGAATTTTTGGCTTTTCTCTTCCTTTTGGCACAGACCAGACAGAAGCTCCTGATAGAAGCCATTCTATATGCCATGGGTCCTGGTCACTATGACATGGGGACAATGGCAGCTGATTGTGTAAGATCTCATCATAGGCCTATAATAATAAGCCTACTTCGTTCAAGACATTAAGTTATATTTTCCTCTTTTGATATGTGGCAGGAGTGAGAGTACATTTTTATTATTGTAAGCCCCAAAGAATTGGAGGAGGTGCTTTCTTTTCTACCACAAACACACACACATACACACACACACACACACACACACACACAACTAGTCTTCCTTGACTTATTTGAAAAAGTATAAATATTGGTATGATTATTCTTTTGTTCTGAAAGGTTGCTACAAACTGGATGGCTTTAAACAATACTGCACAGTGGTAGACATTTGTAGTTTGAAATCAAGGTGGGGGAGCCTGGGAATGTGGCTTAGTGGTAGAAGGCTTGCCTAGCATGCATGAAATCAATGTTGGTCCCCACCAGAGACTTGGAGAAGGAATGGGTTCTGTGCTTCTCGCCTGTTCTAGTGGAGGCTGGCATTCTTCCTGTTTCTTGGCTTAATAATGTATCTCTCTTTTCTCTGCCTCTGTCTTCACATGGCCTTCTTTTCTCTGTGGCCAATTTCCCTATTTCACCTGTCAATTTACTAGGGTCCACATTAATCCAGTGTAACCTTGGTCACATCTAGAAACACCCTTTTTCCAAATAAGGTCATATTATAAAAGTCCAGGTGGGCATGAATTTTAGGAGATACTATTTCACATAGTATACTATATTCATACAAAACATCAGTCTTGTTCTTTAATGGAAATTGTAGTGCTCATAAAATATTTATATTGTGCTCCTATTTTGTCCTAGACATTGAGTTGAATTTTTTTCTTTTGATCTTCACCATAATCCTGGAGTAAGAATTATTATCAGCTTTTTATAGATGAAAAAATTGAGGCTCAGTAGATTACTTGAGTTGTTTAGTGTCATATAGCAAAACGTAAGGCAGAAATGGAACTTGGACCCTGATATTTTTCCAGTAAGCCACTGTCATCCATATACAAACTACCCCAATGTGTGGTGAGTTCCAAAGGTCTAAACTAAAATTCTTCATGCATCTTTACTAAACATTACTGTGACCAAAGGAAAGCAAACAGCCTGTTCTTGTCTTAGCTCCTCAAATGAAAGCAAAGGTCAGACCTTTGGGCTGAATTGTAACCATTTGTTTCCTCATGCCTTTTCCTTAGTTGAACAATAGTCATTCTTATACCAATCAGGAGTATAGCTGTTAAGCAGCAGAGACTGTAAAACAGTAATACTGACAGTATTGTAAAACACATCAAACCCCAGTAATATTGAAAACTCACTGGTTGAGAGGAGATTCAGCACCATCTATTCCTAGTCATTTGCAATGCTTACATACAATCATGCGGAATGAATTTTCTAAATCCTCTTTAATGACATTGAAACACTAAATGGAGCAAAATTTAATAACTTGTTTAGAGTTGTTCATAGCTCACATTTGGAAAAATTAATTGCAAATGGTTATCTTCCCAAAGTATACATCAAAGTTTGGTTACTAGAATTTAGTCATCGAGACATACAAGTCAAATCCAAACTAAATGGAAGTCTAAAATAAATGGCCTATAATTTTCAAAAGTGTCAAGGTCATGAAAATCAAGGAAGCTGAGGGAATTGTCACACAGGACATCTAAGTGTAACACACTAGTCATGAACTGGGTCTTTTGGCTAACCAGGAACTTATTGTAGTGATTTGTAGCACTTAAGCAGAGTCTTAGCATTTGAAATTAGTAATGTATTAATCTTAAGTTCCTGATTGATAATTGCGTCATAATAATGTAGAAGAATATTCTTGGTTGTTGAAAATATACATGAAATGTTTAAATAGGGATACAGG